AGAAGTCGTCGACACAAATATCGTCGGATGTGTTGAAGAATGAGTACAGTTTCAACGACAACAACATCAGCGAACTGATCCGTACGGGACTACTGGCCCGACACCGAAATCCGGGCCACTTTCTGCTATCTGTGCCAAACGCCGGCGAATTTGCCAAAACTTTTGATTTCGGCAAAAAGTTTTTGCTTTCAATTATCAAGAAATGTAAATATAAAGAGATTTTGGGTTCGGAACTAATGAAGAGACGACTTCCTAAAGACATGAAGTTTAGTTTGGAATATCATATCTACGATCTCATCGGCTCTCAAGTCATTCACACGTAAACCAATGCATTGAATGAATTCTTATGCAAAACATAACATTTTGTGTTTTATTATCTTAGAGTCGAGACTCCAAACGACACACTCCTCAGAATGACCTGAAAATCAAATTACCATAAAATATCATCAATTTATAAATTCCGTGCATTTATTTATATTAATATACAATGAATTTAAGACTTAATTCAAGTCTAATGTTTTTATATAAAATTTTCAATTATTGTTAAGTTTAATGAATTGAATTCATTTCTATACAACTGAAAGCAAATGAAATTAGTTTTGATTTAATTTAGTTTACAATTGTGTTGGCATTGGTTTGTGGGACCGGAAGGGGTAATCGTTTGCGTTTAGGCTTTGGTCTCTTCTCTCCGGAATGCATTCTCATATGACTCTCGAGCTCTTGTTTTTCGCAGAAACTCTTATTTTCACATAAAAGGCATTTAAATGGAAGTAAACCCAAATGTTTGCGTCGAATGTGCTGTTAATTAACAATCAATTCATTAACTCATTAATTTGTAAACTCTATTTGAGACTCACTTTTAACATATTTGGATACGAAAAGAATTTTTGGTCACAATGTGAACACTAAATGAAATGATCAGACAATTTCATTACTGTATTAAATCACTGAATGGACACATACTTGATGTCTGCGCTGTCCGTTGTGGTGATCCAAATGCAACCGTAGGTTTGATCGACACCTGAAGGTGCGGTCGCAGAGGTTGCACGAGAAGGGCCTGAGCTCTGTGTGCACTATCCTATGCTGATTGAGTTGTGCGATCTGTCATTGCATTGCATTTTCGTTTAATCATTTCTGTCATCAATTTATAACACATTTTCAAATACCTGTCGAAATGTTTTGCCACAAGTTTCGCAAACGAATGGTTTTTCTCCTAAAAATTTTTTTGACGATTATTTAAGACAATTGCTAAATAAAAATGTGTAATACAATTGCAGACCTGTATGTATGCGTTGATGTGCCGTATAATGTGTTTTGCTGTGACATATCAGACCACAAGCACTACATTTTAGTCTTACGTCAATACTATTCTCTTCTCCCTTATGTATCCGTCGGTGCCTTTCGAGAGATGCCATATGTTTGTAGACTTTTCCACAGAACTCGCATTGTCTGCAATTAAACGC